AATAATTTTTTCCATTGAAATTCCACAAGATGTGGCTTCCCCCTTCCGCTCGTTCTACAGGCGACTAAATTCCAGTTAAACAAACAAAAAACAAAAACTATTCATGCCGCAAAAAATAAAATTCACCCTGTAGACTTGATGGACACCCCAGCATTGCGTATTGCGCCCTCCCTCTCTTGGGGTGCAGTACTACGATGCCGCTGGGGTCACTCAACCCCCAGAGCTGAGCCTCCACTAGGACATTCGCTGTTTCACCCTTGCCATAAGCGCTGATCTCCGCTATAATCGCTCGTTTTGAACTATTTTGACCTCCATACGAGAGGAAAACAATTTAAAATGTTTAAAAAGAGGAAAATTGTTAATAACGCCACGAGGAAACGTCAGACCGAGGGGCAAAATGGTGAGAGAATTATTTAAATCTCATTTCGATAGGTTTTCTCAATTTTCTTTGGAAAAAATTAGAGTTTGAGGTTAACATCAGCTATTTGTCTTATTTTGTTATTACTTCCCACTAATTATTAACTTGTATTATTTTTTCTCAAGCTCAATGAACTGAATAATAATATAAAAATTATTTCTTAATCATTAACAAATATTTATTCAGTCTGAAAATTCCTTGGGACTTTTTTCTGAATTGTTTTTATGTGCAGATAGCAGTGAAGATGAGACGATGGTGGTGAAGAAGGAGAAGAAAATTGAGGGGAGTAATCCCCTCCGACAAAGTGTAAGTGCATTTACAATTACTCAATAATTATTTAATTATTAATATACATGCAATGCTGTCAAAAGAATTCAATGTGTGATGTGTATTAAATTTTTGCAGACAAGCGCAAAGAGAAAAGGGAGGAAAGAAGCTAGTGACACCAGTGATGAGGATTCCTCGGTGATGGTGTCCTACAAATCAAAGAAATCAAGTGAGATAGAGGGCCCAAGTGACCAGGGAGCAACAGCTGTTCTGGAGACCGAGACAGAGGTGTCGAAGGATGCACAGGCGATATTTGAAAAGGCCCAGAGGATAAATGAGGAGCTGGAGGGAAAGGAGGACGACAAGATCTACAGAGGGTTAAATAATTACGCCCAGTACTACAAGAAGAAGGACACAGCAGCTGGAAATGCATCCAGTGGAATGGTGAGAAAAGGCCCAATCAGGGCACCAGCTAATCTTCGTGCTACAGTCCGATGGGACTATCAACCGGACATCTGCAAGGACTACAAGGAGACAGGATTCTGCGGCTTCGGGGACTCCTGTAAATTTCTCCATGATCGATCTGATTACAAACTTGGGTGGCAACTCGAGAGAGAAGCGGCCACTGGGGAGTACAACAACTCTGGAGATGAGGACGATAAGAAATACGAGATTGACAGTGATGAGGACAGTTTACCCTTCAAGTGCTTCATCTGCAGGAACACATTCACGGATCCTGTTGTCACCAAGTGCAAACATTATTTCTGCGAAAAATGCGCGCTTGATCATTACAAAAAATCCACTCGGTGCTTCATCTGCAATGTCCAGACCACTGGGGTTTTCAATCCCGCCAAGGAGTTGACCAGTCGAATGAAAAGTGAGGGTCAGGGGGAGGACGAGTGCTGTGGAGATGACGACACCTGATTCACTTTTTCATCATGCGAATTATTGCGTGGAATTTATTTTTACGGATTCTAGGCGCTTGCTGGTACCTAGAATCAAAGAATCGGCGTTGTGAATTATTTATTCATCTCTAGGATAATAAAATGTCGAATAATGCGAGAATTTTAATAATTAATTGGAATTTTTTATCGAGAAAAAGGGATGAACGTCTGAATGCGATTTGTAAAATGGTCAAGTATTTTTAAATCGATCTTTCACTGGAGCTGAATGAATTATTTAAAAAATTCCGAAGATTATTCAAGTTTTATATATTAATTTTATTTTCAAATGAATTTTTAGTGATTGAAATGAATTTACAGTGGAGGTTTGAAGGACAGGAGAGAATGATTGGAGTTGGGAGATGATTCGTAAAACGGAAAAATGTGAATTTTGAAATTTAGATTGAATACTGGAGAGAATCCAGGGGACAGCGAGTATTCGTGCGACTGCGGGATAGTAACCAACTCCCCTCTCCCCTTAGAATCGATACAACAAACCAACCAATGTGCAACTGGATGTGTATCTCCAGCATTGAAATGTCATCGTGCAAGTGTTTCCATCACCTCGATCATCAATTTATCCCCGAAAAATCCATAACGACCATCTGAAGAACCAAAAAAATGTCCTCGACACCAGCAATATGAACCCAGAGTGCTCTCCAGTCTCTAGTGAGTGAAAAACAAATCCTAAAAAACTGAAAAATCCAGTGTCTTCTGGTTTAATATTCTTGGAAATAAATTCCACTCCTAATTACTTCATCAATAAGTCCTCCCCCTCTCTCGAAAGCTAAAATACAGTGGAAGTATTATAATATAAATATTTTGTCAACGTTTTTTATGGACTTATTCGGCAGTTGTTAATGGATTTGAAGAGGAATAGGGAAAGTATACATTCAGTGGAGTTTTATGTAATATAAATTGAAAATTGTTTATTTTCGTGGGGATTTCATGTATCGATCGTTTTTATATATTTAATCTCCACACGGATCTGTTATCCAGAGAATCCCCTTATCGGCTATTGGCAATGTAAAAGGACTGAAAATTTTTACTGTAATTTACAGTAAATATAATAAATTGAGGAGTGAATTTTAACAAAAAGGTGAATTATACAATATTTTCAGTCGTTCTATTAATTATTTCTATTTTTCGCACTCGTTATGACTTATTTATTGCTACGTCGATTTTCAACGTTTAGATAATTTGTTTAAACAATGCATGTGCATTAAAATAGTTTCAAATTTCTGGAGTCAACAGGTAAATAGTTTTTCCCGCGTTTATCGTACAGAATTTTCATAAATTTCTATTGGAATTTTATAATAATTATAATTGTGATAATTCTTTTGGTGTGTTATAATTTTTTAGAAGAAATCTAGAAGTTTTTATTAAATTCCCTGCTGCATGGAAATATTGAATTAACTTCTGTCTCGTTGACATTTATAATAAATATGTGAATACTAAGATATATCTATATCAATATTTATATAATCTATATTTATATAAATTACACATAAATTTCATTAAAAAATCTAATTTTCATTTTTCATTATGAAATTATCTCTAAAACAGTTTTGATCAGTTAAATGGGGTCTTCACGTTCTCTGGTTTAATGAACAATTGTTAATTACTATAATTGCTGAACTTTTAGGGTCTAATTCAAATTGGAAGGAAGACGAGGGAAAATCAAGGTGATCCCATCGATTTTACCGCGAGTCAGTGATGAATTAGTGAAGAACCTTGAAAAAACGTTGTGACTGCAGGACTGCCTCAATTTTACTCAACTCCCAATTTTTCTGTTAAAAAATTATTAAAAAATCATTATTGCCTGCTAATAAGTTCGTCAATAGTTCCAGAATTATGAATTCTGTGATGATAGATAATTCAAGCACTGGGGATTGATTATTTCGTGGTTTTATGCACGAGGGAAATAGTGGGAATCAGTTTATCATTTTTATTCCCATTATCGTGATTAAACGTCACTTGTTATTTATTAGTCTACCTGCCATTTGCATTGTTCGAGGAAGTGTCGTGATAGAATGAAAATAGTTGAGAGTGTGAGACTGTAAGTTTCCACAGTGATAAACAATAAAATAAAAACAAATAAATAAAATTAATAAATCCGAATATATCGTCATTGCATCTCGTGAAATTCAATTTTTTTATAGATTTTTCATTATCTCGGTAATGAGAGGATGTACGATGAATATCACAGAGGTACTTCTTGTAGGGAATTTAAAGGTCTATAAAAAAGGTCATATGACCTTGTTTGCTAAATCCAGTAGTTTTGAAATTATTTTAAATTCAAATGAAAGGTTCAGTTTGACTCGATTGGGATCGCTTCTCCAGATTTTTGGGAATAACTTGGAAACCAGACGATCTGGAGAAAAAAGTGAGAAGAAATTTTTTGTGAGGAATTAAATTTTCCATGAAAAATCTTTATGATATTCTATTGTAAATCCAGTATTTACCGAGATAAATGATAATCTTGCTGATTTATTATCTTTTGGCGATTAATTAGTCATAAAAATTGATTTTGACAGATGGTTGGTGGCAGTGATGCCCCCATCAGAGGAGGAAAGCCTCTGGCTTGTAGGGAAAAGTGGTGGTGCACTCTCCCAACCGGGAAATGGTCGATCAGTGAGACCTGGGGAAAAAGCACAAATTAAAAAAGTCCTGTACACCGAGGAAATGACGAGTCAGAGCAATGAGACAACCACCACTTCGACAGCTGTTCCAGCAGCTGGAACTATCAGTGCCACTTCCACTGATCCTGCTGAACACGATCTCATCGATTCCAGGGATGATGCCAATTTGCTAGCGCAATTCCACGAGGATGCCATTAAACAGGTATTGACCTCTTAAATTTATCGATGGATATTTATCGCTATATCTCCCTAAATATCCATTCTACAGACAACTTCTGAGGACCTTTTTCATAAATCATTTAATTTTCCATAAAAACGACTTTCTCACTAATTTCTCTAAAATTAAATCTTCTCGAGATAATCGCGGAATTGTAAAAAAAAAAAACGTTTACACATCGTTTGAAATTTTTTTAATCCTCTTATTTTAATCATTAATTTTTTTTTTTTGTAGTTATTAATTTTCATGATAATTTTATGAGTTTCTTCAAGTATTTAATTTTGTTTGACAGATTTGACAGATTATTTTTAAGTTATGATTTGAAAAGGGAGCAATTGATTTTCTGAGGTCGGAATCAGTCCCCTTGGTAGGAACAATGGGTAATTTCGAATTTGGCAAGTTCAATGGCTTTATTCGAAAGGAAAAAATCCTGATGACTCACCTCGACTTCCAAAGTGCATGTTCCAGTCACTGCGCCACTGCGCTCGAGTGCGCAGCGCGCTCCTCATTCCGAATTCCAATTTATTGTGTACCCTTTGATAAAAATGGCTGAGGACCTGGACACATCCCTGACGAAGCTGAAGAGCGATCCCCGAGACATCCTGGACCTCTTCCGAGATCTCCCAGTACGTTCTCACGACAAAAAACCCAAACAATCACCCGAGATTAATCCCCCTGATCCCGAGACCCCAAATTTCACGGATATCTCGGTAATTATTCACTCCAGAAGAAAATACTATATGAAATTTTTTGTAGAGGATTAAATTCCCCCCAGAAAAGGTCCTTTATAGATTTTTGCTCAGAGCCTTGGTCCGGATGTAGAAGAAGCTGAAAGTGAAATACGAGTGGGTGACAGTTTACGATGAATTTTTCGAGTCCACCACGATATCATCGGAGGGGCACCTCCTGGGGGAAAAGTGCAAAGGACTTTTTTCAAGGAGTGACTTTTCTCTACAAAAAAGGTCCTTTGAACTTTTCCCTAAAGTCCGTTCCTTTGAAAATATTTGGGGTTTTATATCTAGAGACAAATGTGAGGTTAGGGACGAGTCAACAATTATCTCTGTGATTAGTGGAGATGGAGTACAGAGAGATATTTTCCGGGAGAATATTCTCTTCTGTAATAATAACGATGTACTTCAATGATTAGTAACTTTCCCGATTCCCCAGATTTTCTCAATTTTTCTTAAGATAGTCCTTTGTCTATTGGTACTAAAATCAAAATTTCCCTTGTTGTCTTATTTTTTCTTTTATTCACGTCTAATTGAACCCTAGATTATTACACATCTTGGGACTTTATTATTCCTTGTTTAAATAACATTTCACCCAACATTACTGTATTATTATATTATAAATAACCATAAACAATAAATAGTTGCGATGTCATTTAAACCCAAATTTTCATCAACTTCATTTCATAAATTATGATTTTCATAAAATTGCTTTCAGGCAGGTGTGGGCTACTTCCAGATCCTGGCAGCATTTTGCGCAGGGCTAGCCCTAGCTGCCGACACAGTAGAGTTCTTCGTGGTGCCCTACATCCTACCGAGTGCTGAGGTAGAATTGTGTATCGAGGATAACGAAAAAGACTGGCTCTCAAAGATAACACTTGTGGGTTCAGCCCTAGGTGGTATAGGATGGGGAGGTCTCGGAGACAGATTGGGTCGTCGTCGAGCCCTTCTATCAGCGATGTCAGTGCACGTCCTCTTCATCGGCGTGGCAACCTTTATGCCAACCTACGGTACCTTCATGACAGCAAGATTTTGCTCAGCCATCGCTGTTGGAGGTGCTGTCCCTCTGGCGTTTGCCTATGTCGCCGAGTGCTGTCCCAGGTCGTCCAGAGGACGATGGACAGGTATTCTAGTGGCTGCTGCTTCCCTGGGAGGTGTTTATGCTGCTCTCCTGGCCTGGGCTGTTGTCCCCACAACTGGTGAAATGGTTGTTCTCGAGAATAAGGAACACTTCAGTGCTTGGCACAAGTTTCTTCTATTCTGCTGTCTCCCAGCTGTCTGCTCCACGATTGGACTAGTTTTTCTACCGGAGAGTCCGAGGTACCTCGTGGAGGCTGGCCACGATGTGGAAGCAATGATGGTGTATCAACGCATTTACAAACGCAACAATGCACGCAAGGCCCTTTCAGGTACTCAGTATCAGCTGTCAGAGCTGGAGCTACCCAGCAAAAGACCCCGGGGCCTTGCACCTCCATCACCATCAGGCAACACAAGTGTTCTCAATGACATAATGTACTCCATCGAGATGTTCTGGAATTCATTTCTACAACTATTCTCAGGCCCCTACATTAAAGTCACTGTTATGCTATTCATAATCTGGTGTGCAGTGGCATTTGGCCTCTATGGTTTGATGCTCTGGTGTCCTGAGTACCTGAAGAGAATTCGAGCAATTGAATACGAAACCCAAACCGAGAGATTTTTCAATGAGGATTTCATCGAGACAACATTCACTGGCTCCCTCGAGAACAGACGATACAGAAACTCAAGATTTATCAATTGTAAATTCAACAAAATGGTGTTCAGTCACGTGGACTTTGACAACTGCACTTTCCAATCTGTCGAATTCACCAGCATCAAGAGCTCCAAGACCCACTTCACGGATTCAATTATCGTCGATTCTAAATTTATCGATACGGATTTGTCCAAGGGATCGTTTGTCAATTGCAAACTGGTGAATAATACTGATCTGAGTCTCGTGGGGAGCTGTCCAACTCTCGATCTTGATTACAATATTTATATCGAGGAGGCACTACATGGGCATCTAGTTGCTGAACTGGCGTTTGTTCCAGCTGCAATTATCGCTGGAATCGCCCTGGGTTTTCTCCAGGGGCCCAAGATCATCGGTGAGTTGTCCATTAATTGTCAATTCTTCAAAATATCTCTTCATTAAATTACTGGCAAAAGGAAATGAAATGACAATACTGACACTTTCATTATCATTTATTCTGTCAATTAATTAATGTGATTCATTCTCTGTTTTTTAATAATTATAAGACTAATAATTTATTTTTCTGTCAGGATTATCTCTATTTTTATCCTCTGGAGGTGCTCTCTGCCTGATGCTGGTGAGCAACAACAGCTCAGCTGTTCTCGGTTTCGAGGGTGGATTCATGGCAGTTTCAGCTGTTGCCTGGACCTCCCTGGGCCTCATAACAATCGAGAGCTTTCCAACTCACTTGAGATGCACTGGGTTTGGCCTGATGGCTGCTGGAATAAGGATATCTGGATTAATTGGTACAGCTGTTTATCAGACACTCGTTGGAGCTCCACTAATAGCACCAGCACTCCTCACAGCTATTGCATTGTTCATCGCCAGCATCACGACTTTTAAATTACCGAATACTCATACAGTTTTCCTGTAAATCGGTGAGAGATAATAGATATTATTTTGAGAATGAGTGGATCGGAATTTCACAGGGAATCAGGGAAAGGATCAGATGTTGGATGTGGTGCGATGCGCACAGGCTGTGGGAAGATTATTAAATCGGGGGTTTTATTGTGAATATGTTATTTGGAGTGATTTATCCACTGGGTAATTGACATTTTCACTATTCACCTCTGATTTCGTGACTGACATCGTGCAACTATGTCGTACGCATAATGCGACGAATATCAACGTATTTATAAATATTTTAGTACAGAGAATTAATGAATTAATCAATTAACGTCAATTTTGCTGAGGAGATCCGAGTGCAACAGTGAATTCATATCAAATTTCCACGTTAAATTTGTAACAATATTGTTTTTTTTTATTCCAGACAATCTCTTTGAGACTTTTATCAATTTCCCTGAGGTGGAGGATGATTTTTACAGTGATGACTTGTTGTGTCATTGAAATAGTGCACGGATCTGTCGGGATGGGGAGATTATGAATTTTTAAAGGGAGAATTTAATCTATTACGGGGAAAATATCGATTTATATCCGGTGGTAATTGCCATTTTAAGTGGCGGTGGAGTCTGGACATTTGCACCGAAATCAGACTCTATGATTTGCCCCACTCCATAATTTTTTTATTATCCCAGCTCATTATCTTGATTTTAATAATGAATTCTAGGGACAAATGCAGTACTTCCGCTTTCATTTGAAGACAATAGGCTGCGTAATTAGGAGTAATGAATTTTATAATTTTTTTTTTCTCTTCGCCAAGAAGTGACCAGATGTTATGACGTGATCATTCGATTTTTTTAATGAGGAATTATTGATTAGAGGAGTTGTAATGAGAATGCATTTTTTTTTTCATTTATTTCGGGATGAAATATTTCAACTTGTCTGCCATTCTTTACCACTTTACTACGGAATTGTCTGTTAATTGGAGAAATTAATCAAAGGTTCAGCCATTGCAAGAATCAAAGTCCAAATTTTAAATCTGGGAAAAAAATCTAACACAAACTGATATTTTTCTACTAGAAAAAAACGGGGAGCAATTTTTTGAACTTTCCACAGTGGAACTAGCCCGTGGGTATTTATTTACTCAACATATCATCTGCGATGAACCAATTGCAGAAAACAATAACAATAGCAGAATAAAATTAGTAGCAAATTGGTAAAGTGAGATAAGTCGAATTGTTCAGTGAACTTTTTTAATAACAATTGATTTATCTCGAAAACTACGGACTCAAGACGAAAGTCTCAGAGGACTTTTTTGTAGCTGGTTAAATTCCCGAGAAAAAGTGTATTCTGATATTTTTCGATAAAATCAATAGTTTCTGAGATTAATCGATATTCAATGGATCAAAAAAATTTCATTATCTAATTTTACCACTTAATTACTGAAGAAAATAATTCAGTAGTGAAGGGGTAGAAGGGGGTGCGTTCAGCCGAGTAATCGGATGACTTATTGGTACCCTCGATGCATCGATCGATTTTATTAATTATCATTTACTGATAAATCCAGGGAAATAACCGATTCTAATGCTCCAATTGTTGAGAGAAATTTCTCAATTTAATCTTTAAAATTGCCAGATTAATTGCAAAATTTATGGGCAGTTTTTCCCCCGGCAATTTCCCTGGGCGTCGTGTGAAGAAATTTTCATTACGTTTTTTGATAATACTCATCCGCTTTTACCACTTTTCTAAGAGATTAAGAGCATTGCGAGCACATGTAGCTCGTTTTAGAGTAATTATAGGTCATACTAGGTACATAGGTAATTAGATATGAAGTTAACGATGTACTGAGGTGAGAACATTAACGTTTAGATGTTTAGAGACTGTTTTTAGGTGTTAAAAGTAATTGAATTGTACATTTAAGGGCCCTGAGTCTGATTGCGACTGCGAGTCAATAGAATGAGATTAAATTTATTTTTCATTATCGGAATTGCCGTTTATTTTTTTTATCAGTGGTATTCCTTTTTTGTTAAGGAAAATTGAGATTTCTTGTGAAATTAGATATTCAATTTTTTTATTCTTAGATTTATTGATTTGAGGTCGAATGCTGTAGCACTGATTTTATTATTGTATTCCATCGATTTTAGTACTGCCAGTCTGGTGAATTATTCATTATGTACGGTTTATTATTTGTAAGATTTATTAATTAATGATTTATTGGGAGAGGGGTAGTCTCTTGGGGAGATTAAATTCTGGCATGTTTTTGGTGAAAGTGTGAAATTTTGAGAATATTTCCCCTTGGAAGTAAAAAAATTGACATTTTCCTCTCAAAATTTAACAGAATCGATCTTTTACCCCTCGACTGAACCCTAGGACCTATATAATTTATATATATTGTATATAATAATGTCTCCACTCGATGAAAAACATTACACGACTCATAACGAAATAATCGATACGAAAATATCAAATCCCCAGCGCACATATCGATACCAATCAATGAGAAATAAATAATTAATGAATTAAAAGTAATTCAACCATAAAATTAAATGATTATTCACGGAATATTTCGAGTGGACACGTTTAAAAAAAAACTGAAGTAATCAGGACGAAATGATTGTGCATTAATATTCATTGATATTATTTCCAATAAATCGAATGAATAAAGGTGATTAAGAGAAAATTAATGTAATGATAAAGAATATACAGAGAGTTTAGTCTCTCCAACGTATTTGATCTCACGTGATGTTGAATACAATGTTAATGGGTTGTTTATAATAATGAGAGAAACATAAAGTGCATGTGTAATCGAATCACGAAAAAAAAACAGTTGAAAGAATAAATTTAAATAATTCAAAGGAAGGTTCATATACATTTATTGTATAAATCAATGTTTTACAAATATATTATCACACTCGTTACAAATGCTTCACATTATCAAGGAAATATTGATCGATTGTAATAGTTTCGATAAAAAAAAAACGTCATGGATGGCCGCACTAATTTTAATATATTACAGATATAATGACGGTATCATTAAATAATCTACACATTACGTTAATTCAATATAAATAAATTGATTATGAAACATCATTTCGTAAAAAGTGTAGACCGGTTTTTTGTATTTACATGGCATTTAAAAATTCTTATTCACTCGGTATTGCTTACGTCTATCATTTATCAATAAATAATATCAAATATTTATGGTTATCGATGAAGCTAGGCTAGTCATTTAATTACTTCGTGGTAAAATAGGTCGATGGCTTTGGAGATAGGCCAACGTTATATCAAATTTTTTTTCTTGGGCTTATATATTTATTTTTTAATATGGAGCATTGAAAAATGGGCAAAATTCTTGTGCCTCGGTTATTTATAGAATCACCTTTTTTCCCCATTCATTTGCCCGATTTTTCAATAATCACTCCCTACATTTGCGCGTAATCGTCATTACAGTTACATATAATGTACAAGCTTTTGTCTAGTGAACAGACAAAATTATAAGCAATTGTTCTTTAGAATTGCTGGATTTATAAAACGGTAGAAAATGGGGCGCTGGGAGGATTTTTAATTTTAGAGAGTCTGGAATTTTTAGTAGTCAAGAGTTAAAGTGAGAGATCATCATCAAATTGTTTAAAAATCACTGGCTTTTTTCTTCATAAAAGAGAATATTCATTCTCTCGTCGATTTTTCAATTGTAAATTCTGATGAATGATTTTATTCCCTCACTTTACCACTTTCCCACTGAATTGCCTCTCGATAACTTTCGAATCGAATTGGAAAAATTGAAGAGTTTCATTGAAGAAGTTTTCTCGAGTAGAAAATGTGATTTCTAGATATGCTTGGCAGTTTTTTAATACTCATTACTCTTTTTATCACCGGAAAAATCATCCTCTCCATTAAAAATCCTGTTTTACTTTCTTAAAGGCATTAAAATCCCTCAGACATTGAAATTCCTTTGAAATTCCGAAGTATCAAATCCCTACTTTCAAAGAATAAAAAATAATCCCAGAGAACCAAAAAAAATGAGTTAAACTCAAAATACAAAAATGTATAAAAAAAATCGAATAGACTACAACAGTATTTCCCAATGAGATCGTAATACTAGTCTGACTGAATCTCCCACCCCTGATTTATCATTAAAAAAGAAATTCCTGAAACCTGAATAAACCGTGAAAAACGGTGAATCAAAAATTATTTATAAAATTCCCTATATCCATAAAATCCTCAATCATAAAAAATTGAGAGTTAATTCCTAAAACGTCATAACGACTCGGGAAAAACGATAAAGCTTTTCTCGATCGTCTCAAATATGGCAGTTTGTAGCTGTTGACAGAGTAATCTGATCATGTTTTAAATAAATCAATAAAAAACGAAGACGATGGCACTTCTGGATAGAAAAGAAAAGCCATTTCAACACTCAAACTCGGATGCTGTGATGGCATTGAGATCCTTCATGAGTCCCTCCAGATTAGCCATCTCCTGGTTGAGCTCCTCAGTGCTGTACGAGGGCTTGAGTCTCTCAATTTCCTCGGGTGTGTGAGAAGCTGACGAGACGGATGTCAGTCGATTTTTTAACTGGCTGGTGGCGCCTTGCTGCTTCTTGTAAGGACTCCCAGATATACTCGGTCTCACTGTCACCTGAGATATCCCATGCTTCTGCTGAGGAGTCGATGGAGCTGACTGGGGCGGAGGTGCGGGAACACTGAAGCTCTTCAGGGGATGGCCCTGAAGGCGTTTAACACTTCCACTGTCGCCAGTCGATGAGGACGTGCATGTGCCACCGACTGTTCCCCCTACATTCCCTGATACACCCGACGACTGCTCCCGTCCTCCGTAATGACCTGGTGCATAATTACTGTTGGCTGTGTACGATGGACCCGTTGAGTAGTTCAACGAGCTCAACTGATCATATGCACTGGGCATCGATGAGTCTGGAGATGATTCTGGTGTTGGCTCCAGTGTTATGTGCGCTCGATTTAAACTGTATTGGGCCACAGTCCTGGGATAAGTTGGTCTCGTTGGACCATCGGTGCAGGAGTTGTGGATCGTCGGCTGGGACATACTGCCATTGACTATCGGCGTTGCCGTTGCTATCGCTTCAATACAAATAAAAACAACATCAATACATCAATGCTCTCGCTGCATCATTACTAATTACTAATTGTTTGAAAAATGGTGAATTACCATTTCTCTTTATCATGAACAATTGAAATGTAATATTTCACTAGCTATTTAATAGAGTAAACAAGTGAAGTGATCAGTGAAATGTATCTGTACAGTTAAAAAAAATAAAAATAATTCACTTACGATGTGTCAAGGGTCCCCCATCAACAGGTAATGTAATGAGTTTTTTACCACGACTGTGTTGTCTGCTGAGGGTCGAACACTTTTCATCCATGCCCCCTAATTTATTGTGTAAAAATAAAAGAAAAATAGTCACTAAAAACGATAAAAAGCGTAAACGATCCCTAAAAAATCTAGAAACAATTAATTACACTAGTGTAAGGAGTGTGTGGAGGATGTGACAAGAGAAATGAGTAATAATTATCTCGAATGCTCACCCATGTAGCTTGGAACGTATGTTCGTTTGTCCAGAGAGCTGGAATTGACGGGAACATTCTCCTGATTGTAATCGGAATTGCCAGACCTGGGTAGTGTATTACTGACAACTCCACTGGTGCATGCTTCACCGTTCATGGAAGACTTCTCCAGAGCCTTGAGCTCCATCTGATCGTGATGAATCCAGAGATCTGGTGGCTTGATGCTCGTCTTCTGGGCTGGATCCTTCATGTAGCCCTTCTTGCGATCTGGTGAGTCTGGACTGCGTCTACAGCAGACAAAACCCACGACGATGGCTATCACCGTCAGCAGCATCATCGTACATCCCACGATAACGTAGATAAATACTGTAGACTGTTTTCCATCTGCAGGGGAAATTCAGTTTTACATACGACAATTTTGATAATTACCTCTACTCTGAATTTTTTTAAACTAAACGCTTAATGAATTACTAAAATTGAGAAAACCGATGAAAAAAAGAGGAAAACAATTGCAATTATCAATTATTATAATTATCCTCAAGCCAGATCTACTTGCAAAAATCAGAACAAATAAATAAATAAAAATTACCTCGATCATGCAATTCGTCATAATAATCCATTCCATTACCTACAGAACAACAACATAAATAAAAACAAATAAAACACTGGAGATAATTTTTGGACTCGCAAATTTGTATCTCAAAAAATAAGATGAGAAAATAAATTAATTAACAGAGAATTCAACGAAATTCTGTGTAAAACCTTTTTTACAGAAATTTCGCTATTTCCCTGAAATTTTGAAATAAATTTTCTACTGAATAATTGATTATTTATGTAATATAAAAAGACAATAGCTGGTGTTTAACTCACTGGGGAGTGTCTTGAAGGTAATCGTCGAGGAGAAGGGGCCGTATCCCTTGAGATTTCTCGCCTGCATCTTGAAATAGTACGTTGTACCAGGCCTGAGGCCCTTGACGACGTACTCCGTCCTGTTCCCGACGATTCCATCCACCAGCCAGTCCCTGTCTCTCTTGGTGTTGTCAGTGGAATACGAGAGAATGTATCCAATGATCTGGCCATTTGGCTGCTTCGGTGGCTGCCACTTGAGGACAACTGAACTTGGCCTCTCCTCACTACCCTGGACCACTAAATCCCTCGGCGAAGTCGTCGGCGCTGCCTCCTGGGTCTGATTAAGCACTATCATGCTCCAGGGTGATTGCCTCTTGCCTTTAACTGTCCTCACTGTAAACTGGTACTGCATATTCGGCTTGAGATCGTCAATCATGCAGTTTAGATCAGATGCGTTGAAGTACTTGTACTTTGGATTGTACGACATGGGGTGGTACGGGGCGTATCGCACCTCGTAGTGCCTGTCCAGGAACAATTTGTTACGAAATATTTTTTTTAGAAATAAATAAATGTTTTAGAAAACGAGAAAAAATAAAAATTGACGTATTTTTCTAGTTGAAAAACAAATCGATATGCGAATTTTTCACTTTAATTAATTACTCTGAAAAAAGTTTTGGTGTAAAAAAAAAAATATAGAAATTTTGAAGTTTAAAAAATATGGGAAAATCTCAAGGTTTGTTTATCCTTTCATCAAATGAAAAATAGATGAAAAAATTGAAAAAAAAAATTTTTTTTCACCTGTTATCAGTAACATATTGACTCTTGGATAAAGAGTTATCAATCCAGTACAAAACAACAGTATTAGCGGAGAGAACAATGGCCTTGAGTCCCACCGGAGGTATGAGAGGTGCAACAGACTCCTGGACAGATTTCTCAGTGGTCCTGACATTGGCATAAATCGGTGGTCCCTCACCGGCTTCATTGGTCGCCCTCAGCGATATCACGTATTCAGATAAAGGTTCCAAATTCTCAAGCGAGAAGAACCGCTGCTTGCCGTCGAGGGGTTGGGTGTAAACATCGGGAAAGCCCTTTCCCCAGCCGACGATGTACCCACGTACCTTAATGCCGTCGTCCTTCGGAGGACTCCACAGGAGCGATATAGAATCGGCCATGGCCTTCGACCTGAGATCGCTGGGGGCCGAGGGTACCACAGACTCATCGAGATCATTCTCGTACGTCTCCACTGGCAGCCACTCGGTCCAGGGGCCCGTACCGTTGACATTTAATGCACACATGCGAATATGATATACGGCCCGACGCATCAGACCAGTGAGAACGTGCAGACGAGTGTTACCTTGATAAGACATTTGTATGCTTTATATGTTAATCGTAATTGACGGAGCCAGGGTTCCTCTCTTTCTTCACTAGGTGCGCGTGCAGTCGGTGGAGGAGAGAATTTATGGGGGAGAGGGCTATATAAGGGCTCTATGAAATCGCTCTTGCTAGTAGGAATGATAAAGTAATTGAGCGAACGCATTCTTTCTTTTAATTTCTTTTAAAATCATTCTTTCCATATTTCCGTTATGAAAAAGGGAATTTAGTTTCCAAATTTTCGTGATTCTTTGAATTTTTTACATTTTTGGAAAGATTTCCTTCCACCATTTTATAGTAGGATATGCAAAAATGACTCACCTTCGGTGGTGATTGTGATGGAATGGTATCTCTTTTCTAGCCTTTTGTGCTGAATCTTGTACCCAGTGATGATGCCATTTCGTCCCTCGAGGGGTGGCTCCCACCTGATGATGATGCTGGATGAGCTCGCTGCCTCCAGAGTAACGTTGTGAGGTGGCTGAGTGGGTGGTGCACTGTAAGTTCTCATTGAAATTTCGCCCGTTGATGCCCCAGGCCCGTTTTCGTTGACCGCATGAACCCAGATACTGTACTCAGTGTACGGTACCAAGTTGATGAGCTCGTGAGTGATGCTCGTAGTCTCCCGAGTCCTTTCACCCTGTCCCTCGCCCTCCATATACGTTATGACATACTTGGAGATGCGACCATTGATAACCTTGGGTTCCATCCAGACGAGTTTGATGCTGGTGGAGCTTGTCGCAAAGCCCTCGAGATTTAAAGGAGGACCTGGGACGTCCGCCTCGGAGTGAGTGGTCACCCGAAGGGTCTCCGAGGAGGCACCCGCTCCTCGTAGATTGTGGGCGACCACTCGAAACTCGTAGGTAACACCAGGCTGAAGACTCCTGACCACAGCGTCCAGTTGACCTGGAGCCGTGTTCTGAACTCGTTCCCTGGAGAAACAATATTTATCTCTTATAATTGTGTAATGATTCTGATTGATGCACCCAGAACAGTCGTCCTGAATCAATTTGCAGAATCAACTAGAATCAGTACTTTCTTTTGACGGTTAGACAGTATTAGACTCTCAATAATCACCTTTGTGAGTCGTCCTGTTTGTAGTAAACATTATACGTCAGGGCATCGCCATTTGGATTCGCCGGACTCTCCCACCTCAGTGTCACAAATCTCGTCTTTACGATTACGACACTGAGGTTTCGCGGAGCTGATGGCACGCCACCGTCAGCGGCTTCTGGATCATCTGAGTCATCTAGAAAATGGGAGGCAGGGTCGTACAGGGAATTGGGATCGTCAATTTCACGCTGTAAATCGGATGGATCGTCCTGGGGAGTCATGGACGGTGGATTTGGGGTGAACGCTGACAACGTGTGACCCAGGAGGGTACTAGGATGCTGCCAAGTGTTATTGTACAACCGATGCGATAATTTCTTTTTCTTCATCGGTGACTTTGGCGTTGTCGTCTTTGGGGGATTTTTTTCTACGTTAGCATGCGGCACAGTTAGTCGGGAAGAACAGGAACGAAATAAAATCAATGAATTACAAAACAAAAATATTCAAATAAACAGAAAAAATAAAATAAATCAATCGACAATCAACCCTTCATCGGATATAGCCTTCAGAAGAACTAATCCCAAAATATTATTCCGTATATCTGAAGGCAGTCACCGACGAAGTGTTAAGCTAATAAAAACTGGATTGATCGGAAAAACATCGAGACTTTCTGGAGCATCGGCAGTACTCACTCGGCATGTTGATGGTTAGCCTGGCTGCGGCCTGGATACTTCCTGCAGGATTGACACCGACGCACTGGAAGATACCAGCGTCGATGGCCAGGAGTCCATTGATCCGCAAGTTGTTGCTATTAACAATCTGCCAGTACTCGCTCAGAGTGATAATCTCCCCGTTCTTCAGCCAGGTGACCCTGGGCTCCGGTTTTCCATATATTTCACACTCAAACTCCAGATCCTGATTCTTGTTCGCCACCTTGTCCTCCGGCCGTTTAACGAATCTGGGTGGTACTTGAACTATGAGCTCAGCCACAGCATCGAGTGTCTCGACTCGGTTTTCAGCTCTGCACTGGTATGAGCCATTGTCCTCCTCCATGACATCAGTGATCATGAGGCTGGAGGCAGCGACTTCGCGGTATCGAGAGTCTAGGGTTGCCAGGTCGACGATGACACCATCCTTCAGCCAGAGGATCGATGGCTTGGGGTAACCGTTAGCAGCGCACTCTAGAGTAATGGTGGAACCCTCGACAGCCACTTGTTGCTGGGGCTTGGCGACGAATATTGGGGCCGTTGGGGCCTGATCCAGATCGCTGGTCAAGAGGGAGAGCTGGGCTTTACCGCTGAGACGGGACTGGCCGTAACCGCTGACGTTGCATCTGTAGGACCCCACGTCCTGGGTCCGCACGTCGTCAATTTCCAACGCCCCGGATGGCATCAAGGTCATCCTGCTGTCGTCAATGATCAGAGGATGCTCGTCCTTCAACCACTGGACCCTGACCCGACCCTTTTCCACTGGCAGCGCACACGCGAGATAAGCTATTTGCCCCAGGTACAACATAGTGTCGTGTGGCTCTTCCCGAAATTCTGGAAGTGTCGCGACCTTGATTTCCGCAACTCTTGACACTATCGCCCCGATATTATCAACCGACGCCAGACACTGGTACTTCCCCGTTGTATCGGCATTGTTTGAGACACTCGTTATGTCAAGAGAACCGTTCGCCAGTTGCGACCGATAACCATCTCCAATAAAATTTATGGGCTGACCATCCTCACTCCTCCATTGAATCGTCACCGGACCGAAGGCACTTGAAGCGGAACAGTCTAAACGCGCAGGGCCACCCTCTTCGACTGCTGTATCTTCGGGTTCCACTTTGAAGTGGAGGGCAGATGTTAAGGATACTGAAAGCCATATGTAAATATTTTTCCGGGTTTTTTTTCAGGGGTTAACCAAAATATTGGAGTGAAGGGAAAACCATTTTTTTATCAGTGAACGCGAGAACATGTGCAGTCTTCTCATCACAATAAACATTTCCATTCTATTATTTCTATTATCGAACTCTTTGCTTCAATGAGCACGCGGTACTTCGATTCGTTATGATCACCGGTGATTTGACAATTTTGCATAAGACGCATGCGCAATCTGCGCAGTGCGTTGCGCATAACTCTCACGAGTAAATCTACGCGATTTCAAAGTGAAAGTTGTGGAACAGGGGAAAATGAGTGTTTACGAGCCAGTCCCTTCGATATTTGGATATTAAATAATAGGGGAGTATTTTGGGAGTTTCCACAGTAAAATTGTGCCTTTGAAGCAAGTGATACATATTTCGTTGTGGACTTTTCAGGGAATCGAGAGGGTGTGGGCAAACAAAAGGAATACCTCAGACTCGAAATATACAGCTGGCACGCGTGCTTTTGTTAGGCTTATTGTACTCTATCAAAAGAGAACTGTCTGCCTCGAACTAAATAGGAATAAAAAATCTGATGGAGTGGAATGAAATCTGTTCAACTCAGACTGAATTAAAAATTTACGGTTGAATTTTTCTTTAGGAGAGGAAAATACCCATATTTTCGGGGGAGTTCAATCTTCGATTCTTCATAAAATAAAATTCAGTAGTAAAACGTTGTAATGGAGATTAGTTGAAATTTATAGAACTCCTAATGAGGTGAAAACGATTTTTGTGCTTTCGCCTTTTTCTTGGGTGTGAAGATATTTTTTAATGTGTATAAATTTAAAATCAAAATTGAATGTATAATCAAGGAAAATCGGTCATTACTTCACGAGAAAGATTTTTCTCTACGGAAAAAATCGAATTCACCAGTAAAAAAGTTAAATTACAATCAAATAATTCCATTAAGAGAAAACTTATAACAAGACTACCATTATTTGTTTTTATTAAAAAATCAATGAAAAAGCTGAAAGTTATTTGAAGAAAAAAATGAGTGAGAACCGAGTGCGAAAAATTAGTGAAATGAATAATCCTTGAGAAATGTATTTTCTCAGTGTTAAAAGTAAAACAGTCCGTGTTGTATAACTTTTAAAACCACATCTGATATCCCACGAATTGATTACCCAAGGGACATTAGAAATTATACCGGATATACTGTGAGGAGTCATGTATGCACAGTTGGTTGCGATAGCAAGGAGCAAAGAAAGTTGAGAAACGAGAACGAGGGATATAAATTCCCACTGGATAGGGGGTTTGAGTTTGTTTCCTTCCGTACAACCACCGGCAAATGGCTCTAGAGGGGCTGGATAAGCGATTCTGGAATACGATTTCAGTTTATTTATTACTTCATTGAATCTTCCTCCGCAGGAATACACGATTTCTTCAATTTTCCCCCAGATATTTAACAATAACTCCAATTTATTAATTCCCTCCACTGCCAACATTTTTTCACTATTCCACATCATTCTATATGGATCAATAAATAAATTTATTGCTCCATTTAATCTCCCACATGAAAATACTATTTCAATTCTCTCCAAAAATTTAACGTAAACTTTAAAAAAATCAATAAATAAAATAATAAACAATACGGAAACGAATTGATATTGCGACAATAACTCCAATTTATTAATTCCCTCCACTGCCAACATTTTTTCACTATTCCACATCATTCTATATCGATTAATAAATAAATTTATTGCTCCGTTAAATCTCCCACATGAAAATATTATTTCAATTCTCTCCAAAAATTTAACAGTAACCTTCAAAAAAATCAATAAATAAAATAATAAAAAATACGAAAACGAATTGATAATTGCGATTAAAGGGAGAAGTTCCCGATTTAATGAAGTGGGAATAATTCTTTGGGTATAAATGACTGGAATTTGAGTGGAACTTCTCGTTTGGCAAAAACACTTGTAAATGTCAGTTTTAGCCTCTGGAAATTCCAGTTATTTAGCCAGTCCCTGTTATTTTCTGGAAAAAAATGGAGAAATAAATGAGCCATTCGAGGAATACCAGTCGAGTCGATTCGCTAACTCAATTAATCACCCTTACATCCGTTCGTCCACCCCACAAAAAACATTTTTACGCCTGTCTTTCCCTGTTATTTGCACGCATTACTGCAAAAACTACACCACTTTCATTATATCTTCTGGGAATCTATCGGAATCATGTGGATTGACAGCATGATGGAGTTATCTATGACTGATGACAATTTGCAATTGCATAAAAAAATAATAATTGCGATAATCCTGAATTATTTTAAAAGTTCTGAACTCTTGCCCATTTTTATTAATCCAGTATTTACCGAATATCTCGTGATTGAAAGGGGATAGCGATTTTTTGGGCTCTACATTTTTTGGAGAGAAAGGCGAGCACTACAAAAAAGGTAATTACGAAAATATCAATATTTGGGTTCAATTACGAGATATTTGGGGAAAACTCATGTGACTACTGAATTATTGAAATTATGATTTTCTAGACGGAATAATTTCTCAATTCATTATAAATTAATTGAGCGGGTTATTGTTAATATTGAGAGTAATAATAATAATAGATTCTGTCACTCTATTTTGCGTTCTGATTGTTTATTATATTATAAGAGATTTTTTTGTCCTGAAAGGAAAAATAAGGAAATTCGTTGATAGGTGAGTTGTGATTGAACTACAGGAGTGTTAGTAAAAATAATGGATCTATGTTTACATTGGCTGAGACACTGAAAACGACTTTATTTCTTTCCCCTTCGTCACTTGAGACATTTAACATGGTGAAGTAAAAGAGATGGAAATGGTCTTGTTTAGGTTCTATTTCCGTATGACGCGTGGGACTGCGGTAGGTAAGCAAGTGAGCCCTTCATGTTTTTATTTATTTACCCTTTTTTTCAACGTCAAATAAATCAAACCGCGAGGGAGGATTTGTTTGCCTCGTAAATTTTCTCGGGCCCAAAAAGAATTATCAAAAAAAAATTTCCAGACCCGTTTTTAAACTCTTGGTCATTCTCGTTGTCAATCCACCGATACACCTTCTCCCTCCAAGGGATGAGGGTGAATAAATCATTTAACGAACAGAATTCAACGTCTCGATCCATCTTATTTCTCGATACAATCACGGAGTAACCCAAGGATATGTCATTGATTTTGCGTGCGTCAATTGATCATAATTACCGTCAATTGGGTTTGTTGGTAATTATTATGGGAATATAGGGGAGTGATGGGGGTCGTGGAATTTAAAAAAATTGCCGCATTGGAAATAATTGGGGGGTGTTTAAATGCCTCGACGTTGATAGTTCTCACGTGTCTAGTTATTCGGCTTTTTTATTTTCCTCTTTTCTTTCAATCACTCAACAAATTCATTAGCAAGTGTTTTATCCAGTCAATGTCTCCCGTTGATTATCAACCCCCAACAATACCTCAATGTTCAATAATTAATCATTAGTCATTGAGGGAAAGGGATAAAAAATAATGCCACTATCGGTTAACAACACTAGCCAACAATTCAATTGATCAATTATTCTCCATCCACTTGATGCCGAATAATCATCTCGCAATGTTCAATACACTTTTCATTAAACCCCATGCCCTTTGACAATACCAAGTAGAGTAATTAATATCTTCGAGTGCATTATTTGAACAAAAGCCCAATGGCTTTCCACTATTTTTTCATTCATTCCTCTGATCCTAGCACCCGGGACAATGAGTAACAATGAATGAGGGGGTGACATCAAATGGGGGAGGTGTTTCCAATCGTCAGAAAATCCCCAGAAGCACGTTGCAACTGCAATAAAACCACTCTCCCCCTAGCATTTGGCGATAAATCGGCCAAAAGGGAATAGGAAATTCTGATGAACATTCTGGGGTGCCTAATCCTCCACATGACGCTATTCGGCACATTAATTCTCCCCCAGAATAAATTTCAGAAGTTTTTTTTTCTCCTTGAGATTTAATCTTTCTGGGGTAATAATAAAAAATGAATTTTATGAATATGAATAATTGAAAAGAATTTTTTATTCATGCTGCCCCCTCAATAGAATATCGGCCACTGGATCTCGACGGGAAATAATTCCAGTCTAGATTCACATCAGACCTTGAGATCCCGAAGAAATCATTTTTCTCCTACCAAAAAGTTATTTCACTCGGATTTATTTGTTTAAGAGCTCTCCCGAGAAGCTGTTCAATTTTCTCTCAGAATTTTCGAATTTCACACCTTCCGCAGGTGTTTTTTTTCCCAGGGAAAATCCAATTCAGAACCGGAAGCTCCGGATTTTTAACGGAACTTTATTTTTCTTGTGAATTATCAAGAATAATTCGATCTTCTCACATTTTTCCGAGAACTTCTATCAAAAAATACGAAAATACAGTAAATCTCATTATATTTCCGCGACTTCGTACTGGACTATAAATAAAAAAATAATTAAATAAATCTATAACAGTCTCCCCCCCCCCCCACCCTGTAATGAACCCCCACCCTGACACGTCCGATAAAAACGAATAAATATTCGGTAAAAAACAATTTTTCCAAAAGAACTGACAAAAGAGATTCTGAAGTGATCTCCATGTGCTCCAGTTACCGACAACTCGTTGCATCTGAAAAATTGTCGCAAGAACACCTTACAGGTCATCGCCCACGCTCACCCGACATTAAATTCCATCTGCAGTCCATTCACTCTCATTTCTACTTCAATTTCAACACTAAAAAGACTTAAAAAAAATTAAAAAATAAATAAATTCTACATCGTTAACGTTCCACAACGATTCAATCATCCCCCAATTAAAATCTCCAATTTAAAATAAAATAAACCTGATAATTAAATTAGTCAGGCCAATGTCGATGCTCTGGACGATTTAATTAACTTCTCGTTTTCCCAGAAAAGAGGAGAATGAGGGGGCGTGTAAAAAAAGGTCGATTGCGTGTCGAGGGAATTAATTGATCGCTCACTGCTGAGAAATTACT